AAGTGAAAGATACAAAATCTCCAGTTCAAGGACATCCCTTCTCAGTACCGGCGACCAAAACTGGACCGCGTATTCCAGAAGTGGCCGAACCAACGATCTATATAGAGGCCAAATTATAGACTTGTCCCTGCAATACATCCCCTTCTTAATACAGGACAAGACCCTGCTAGCTTTGTTTACCGCAGCCTGGCACTGCAAGCTACCATTCAGTTTGTGGTCTACAATGACCCCCAGATCATGTCAGAAAAAAATAAATCAAAAACAGAATCACTGAGTTGGAAAAAGGATCACACCCGTGTGTCAGTATTTTGTTGAACCACCTTTTGCTTTAAGTACAGCCTTTAGTCTGTTGGGATATGTCTGTACTAACTTTGCACATCTAGACTTTGCAATATTTGCCCACTCTTCTTTGCAGAACTGCCCAAGTTGTGACGCTCGCCTGTATCGGCTGTGGAAAACGTGGATCTCAACTGCGGTTCTCAGCTAAAGGGTGAGGACGGGAATCAGATAGCAACTCCTCCACCTCGCTATGCCCAGTTTTGGAATAAGGCTGCGAGGAAGTTGCAACACATCATACCCCGTTTGCACTGAGAGGTTTAACCAATGGGTTTAGCAGACCTCAATCTTAATTGTATATAATCGAGGACAGCAAGGGTCAGCAGACAAAAATAGTAATCGTATCTAATCAATTGTGGACAGCAAGGTTCAGCAGACATCAATAGTAATTGTATCTAATCAATTGTGGACAACAAGGGTCAGCAGACATCAGATAGTAATATGTATATATCAATTGTGGACAGCAGGGGTCAGCAGACATCAAATAGTAATTGTATGTAATCAATTTGTGGACAGCAAGGTTCCTACTCCCAGGGAGATTCCAGGGTTACTTGCGGTTTTAGTGCTGGCCTCAGATGCTCAGATGTGGTTTGTAGGCGTCAGGTCCTATGCAAGGCGAGTGGGGAGCTGAGCTGATCAGCGTCCTGCACACTCAACAGAAGACGCTGATCAAGTGCTGAGATGCGGCTTTTAAGCCGAGTGCTGCGTCTGAAGGGGGCGGAGTCCCGCGGCGCGCCTGCGCCCGATGTGGACGGTTTTCGAGGGAGAGAGAGAGGGATCTCTCTCTGCGCCTGCGCAGGGTTTTGCTGGACGGCGGCGGTGGACGTCACCCTCTGACGTTGACGTCTCAGAGTCGCAGACCCGCGGCGCGCCTGCGCAGTGAGCCCACGACCCGCAGTACCGGCTCAGATCATGGTCCGTCTGTTACACAAGTTCAGTTAAATTTGACGGTGACCGTTTGTGGACTGCAGACTTCAAGTCATTCCACAGGTTTTTAATGGGGTTTCAGTTTGGGCTCTGACTAGGCCATGCAAGGACATTCACCTTTTTCTCCTTCAGCCACTGTGTGGTAATTTTTTCTGTGTGCTTTGGGTCACTGTTATGTTGGAAGGTAAACCTTCTTCCAATTGACAAATTTATGGCAGAGGGCAGCAGATTTTCCTCATGAATTTGACAGTATATTGCCCTCTTCCACTGGTGGAGAAAAAATGTAACCACAAGGGGCATAGGGTCTTCTTCTCAGTTACAGCGGTTAGGGTCTGCAACTCGCTGCCACAAGCAGTAGTATCAGCATTTGGACAACTTCCTCAGAGACTGTAACATACAGTGGTACAGGTACTCTTAAAAACAAGAACACACAGGAACTTGTACAAACGCATACAAATGCAATAGCTAGAACTTGATGGACCTGTGTCTTTATTCAACCTCAAATACTAGGTAACTATGTAAATCTTTACAACTAGGTGAGCCGCAAACTTGTAGCAAGCATGTACATATCAGGTGTCATGTCACCATATATGCAAATAGCAGTTCTGGATCAGTGGCTCACCATGCATTAAAGGAAACAGAAGGGTGACAGCTCTGAAGCTTGCACCTTTAAAGCAAGTCGGTTGTTCCTATGTTTCTGTCTTCACAGTTTCCAATTGATCCTAAGATTCTATACGCCATTATGTATTGTAGATTACTGACCAATTTCATTTGATATATTTAGGGGGGAGATGTATAAAAAGGTATACTACAAGATGTGTTTTTCTTGCCCATAGCTACCAGCAAGCTTCAAACTTTCATTTCCACAGTCCTAGTTTGAAAATTAAGCAAGGATTCTGACAGGTTGCTATGGGCAACATCAGATATTCCCATTGCACTTTTCATACATAAGCCCCTTTGAGAGGTAATGTCTCTTATCAACTGAAATTAATAGTTACAAATTGTTCTTCTATGCCAACAAGGAATCCATCCATATGCTCAACATATTGTTCATAGCTATGCAATCTACAAACAGTTGTTAAGCTTGGCCTTGGACCCAAGAAGATCAACATTGCAAACAATGTTTAATTCTACTGAACACAAACTAGGTGTCATAAATGTAGGCATCTGCCATTAAAAAGGTGTACAGTACAAGAGGCTCGATTTTAAAAGGGCATTTTACATATTTATTCAAGTTACTGCACATACTTTCTACTGTCATACGTCCACAATCCTTTCCTTTGCATACTGTTCTCCATCATATGAGTGACCAAGCACTTCTCTTCTGCATACACTACCTGCTATCAAACCTTTCAACAGTCCTCTAGTAAAAATATTGTCCACTATCATACCTTCCACACTTCTCTACTACAGTCGTGGCCAAAAGATTTGAGAATGACACAAATATTATTTTTCACAAAGTCTGTTGCTTCACTGTTTTAAGATCTTCTTGTCAGATGTTACGATGGTATACTGAAGTATAAATACAAGCATTTCATAAGTGTCAAAGGCTTTTATTGACAATTACATTAAGTTTATGCAAAAGAGTCAATATTTGCAGTGTTGACCCTTCTTATTCAAGATCTCTGCAATTCGCCCTGGCATGCTGTCAATCAAATTCTGGACCAGATCCTGACTGATGGCAGCCCATTCTTGCATAATCAATGCTTGGAGTTTTTCAGAATTTGTGGGGAGGTTTTTGTTCACCCGCCTCTTGAGGATTGACCACAAGTTCTCAATTGGATTAGGGTCTGGGAAATTTCCTGGTCACGAACCCAAAATTTCGATGTTTTGTTCCCCAAGCCACTTAGTTATCACTTTTGCCTCATGGCAAGGTGCTCCATCATGCTGGAAAAGTCATTGTTCGTCACCAAACTGTTCTTGAATGGTTGGGAGAAGTTGCTCTTGGAGGATGTTTCTGTACCACTCTTAATTCATAGCTGCGTTCTTAGTCAAAATTGTGAGTGAGCCCACTCCCTTTTTTTGAGGGATTAAGTTAATTTTCATGGCAAAGAGGGACTTTGCAATTAATCTTATCATTCTTCATAACATTCTGGAGTATGTGCAAATTGCCATCATACAAACAAAGCAGCAGACTTTGTGAAATAAATATTAATAGTTGTGTCATTCTCAAAACTTTTGGCCACAACTGTACATTCCTTAAGGCTAGGCTCAAGCCTAGGCCATTGAGCTGATCAGCTATTTTCGTGCAGTTGTCACGCCTTTTTGTTTGCGCGATTTTGCTTTGAAAATCACTTGGTTGTCAATGCATAGAGATGTCTATGGGACCCAAACCGCGCAAAAAAAATAGCTCCTGCACCCTTTTGCACGTCAGGCGATTTCTACCACCCGACAAATCGCAAAGGTGTGAACAGCTTCCATAAACTTTAATGCAAATGTCTATTTTTATTTGATATTTTCTCTATTTTCGCGCGGATAAATCACCTAGGTGTGAACCTAGCCTTATTGTGCATGTTGACTGCTCCTCTTCATTTCCACATTCCTTGTCTGTACATGGTGTCTGCTATCATACCTTCCACATTCCTGTCCTAAACATATTACCCATTAACAAACCCACTAGCAATCATCTACTGCACATACTGCCTGCTGTCATACCTTCTGCATTGCTCTTCAATACATATTGCCCGCTATTATGCCCTCCACATGCCTCTCCTGTACATACAGTCTGCTACCCTACCCTCCACACTCCTATCCCAATAATACTGCCAGCTATCATATCCTCAACACTCCTATAACATACACACTGCTTGCTATCATACACTCTTATTATTATTATTATACAGGATTTATATAGCGCCAACAGTTTGCGAAGCACTTTATAAAATACAAGGACATTACAGTTGCAAGACAAATTGGTAAGGAGGGCCCAGGAGTTATGGTTATAGTGGTTTAAACAATGGAACCTCTATAAAAGCACACAGGTTATAAATGTGTATGCTGTTTACAGTTACAATAGGGGGGGGGAGGGGGTGCAACAGGGAGAATGTGCCAAACAAATTATGACACTCGTAAACAGGAACTGTGCAAATCAATATAACAAATAAAACACAAGAGAAAGATGCAATGCAGCGAAATGCCCAGATGTATATAAGCCCTCGTTCACACCTGAACGCTTTGTAGCGTGTTCTACGCTCGACGAACGCTCTACAAAACGCTCAAAAATATAAATCCCATTGTATTCAATGGCCTCGTTCCCACCTTGGCGTATTTCCGCCCGTCCCTAACGCGCTACAAAATGGCCCACGCCTGAAAAGGTACATGTACTACTTTGAGCCGTTTTGTTGCGCGTTTCCATTGGGATACAGCAAAGTAGCTTTCGGAAACACACGACTTTTTTACCGCGAATCGCGGTAAAAGAAACGCGCGACAGACGCGCATATGCAATACGCCTAGGTGGGAACGAGACCTAAAGGTCTTCCTGCATTTTGTAACAGCATGTGTTGTTGGACACTAAAACCGTACTCTACAATACTCTATGGTAATATATCTATTATCTAGAAAGTATTAGCACAGGATTTTTCAGAAATGTTGAACACCATTTCTATAGCATGTTAACTTAAATACACACTGCTGAAGAATTCTCATCATTGGCAAGTTTTTAAACTGTACCTTACACACTTTCAATGACCAAGTCTGTTTGAACTTATCCTCTTAGCATACAATAATGTGATATTTACCTGAGACGCATGTCCACGGCACATTCACAATACTTCCCAAGCTTAACTCTGTGAATCATATAAGGAACATCACTTCTTTCTTCAGAAAGATAAATATTCCTTTTATCATGGCTGCCTCCTGTAATTGTTCTTCAGGTTTAGAATGCTTAGTTCAGATGTGTTTACAGACATAAGTGTTGTGTAGGAGGAAGGAGTGTAGGTTTTACTTAGGGCTGGCTTTATGATCATAATGGGTTCAAAAGGCAATCAGATAGCTATTCTATAGCAGTTTAAAGTTCCAACTTCTCCTAGCAGGTAATTCAGTGCCAGGGTGAAGTTGTATATCAACTGAAGGGCAGAGCCATGGTTAGCTATTTCGCTGTTGGTTTTAGCTATTACTGGAAGCCTTATGCTTGTAGCCTGGTAACCTCTTAGGAGTTTGTTGGTTCTCAAACACAGGTGGAGCAGATGAGATGTCAGCAATAAACTGTCCTGTCATTTAACCATTTTGCTGCCATTTGTTTCTTTCAGGAGAAATTGTGAAGATGTGTCATTGGAAGCCTAAGTGCCCCTTCTACTAACATCTGACCACATATTATTTATTTCCCAAGCACGGCGTACACAAATCTAAGTCATACAGAACAGTGCAGGGGCATTTCAAAACTTATTTAAAAAACCCCATTTCATCTAGATGATAATATTGTCTCATATTCATATATGCAGGTTAAGAAATATCAGATTATTTTTTTCTGGCAATCCTACAGTTTTGTTTTTATTTTATTTTTTACATTAAAGCTGAACTCAATGCAGCTATTTAAATGGCTTTCATTGCAGGTGTTTATTCCTTTAAAACAATTCAATGTATTATTACATACAAGTACCTGGATCTGTCTTGATAACACATCCTGCAATCTCATGCACAGCAGCACTGGGGGACAGAGGGGCATCACTAGGAGCTAATCTGGCTGTGCTGCATCAATATGATGATGACTTCTTAAGGTGCCCATCCACCTTACAATTATCTGGAGGTTTTTGTCTGCAAATCTGCCAGTTGATAGGAAGTGCACAACCTCAATTACTGTACAACTGGCAGATTTTTGGTTTGACAACACCACTAATTCATCGTTGTTCGTACGATTCGAAAAAAAGTTTTCTAGCCTGCCCGATAGAAGAATTTCAGGCCAGCTGTACAGTAATTGTTCACTTCCCATCAACTGGCCGATTATCGTACGAAAATGTGTTTGCTTTTCATACGATAATTGTCTCTTCTGCTAAAAAATCTCCTACTTTCCTGTCAGCAATTTTTCTATGCACTGAGCCATACATGCGCAGCTTAGAGCACAGACCCAGCATGCCCAGCTGAAGTAACTCCCTTGCGCATGCGTGTGAGTTATATCATGCCAGCCGGCCAATCAAGAGGCCAAAGAAACCTGGAAGAAAACCAGGAAAAGATGCCACTGCCGGCAATGGAGGGAAGAGTGGGCAGTGCATCACTGGAGGTACTCTAAATTGGTCATAATGTGCTAATATGCTGTGCATGTTGGTACCTTATGGCAAACACCGCCACAGCACTTTTTTTAACCAATCCGCTTAACTTTCACTTTAATTTCACTTCTACTTTAATTAGAATCAGTCACTTTGCCCACTTAGGGCCGTGTTACCCCACCAATCCATTTGTCTGTCAGAGCGCTGGGTCTAATTCCTGTGTAAGCTCTGTGTTAGTCAGTGTTGGAGTTTACTTAGGGCAGGGGTGGCCAAACTCCGGCCCTCCAGCTGTGGTGGAACTACAAATCCCAGGAGGCTTTGCAAGATTCGCACAGCCACAGACATAACTCCCGGAGAGAGATGCATCATGGGATTTGTAGTTTCACCACAACTGGAGGGCCGGAGTTTGGCTACTGCTTTTTTGAGACATACAGCTGGGGGTGGATAAAGGGCACCAATGTATTCCTTAACTGGTGTCATCCTCCTAGCTGTGATCTGTAAGGGGGTATGTAAATCTCAGGAACAAATGGACAGAAAATACATTGCCTTTTGGAAGGTAAAACAGCTATGCTGTCAATAAATACATGCAACCATACTGATATGTGCATCTGAATGCCTCTAATTCATTATCATTTAAGTTATATAGTTCTACTTTCTTATTTTAATCTTGTAACATCTTAATAAAATCCATTTGCTGTTTTAAAAAACACTGGAGCAAAAGTAGATCTGCTGCACATTGGGCACATGTCTAAGCAAGCAGGGCCATCCCTATAATGAGGCAGCCTGAGGCGGTCGCCTCAAGCAGCATCTCTTTGGGTCACTTAAGGGGATGGGGCAGCAGGCAGTGATGCACAATGCTTCCAGTATGCCTGCCACCCCCTCTCCGGCCACAGCGTCCCAGGTTGTTATAAGGCGGGTGGAGAGATTTGTAAAGGTGCCCATACACTTTACAACCATCGCAAGACTTTAGTCTTGCGATGGTTGTAAAGTAATTTAAAAAAAGGTACGATCTGCCCATCTTGGACAGGCAGATCGTACTCTCGATCATCGCAAGCCCGCCCCCCTCAGGGGCGGGCTTCCGATGATTGCAATGCTAAACGGGCAGTGTAGCATTTGTACGATTTTTGGCTGGTTTTCTAGTGTGCCCCCTAGACAAAAGACGTGCGACCGTACAGTAAAAACGATCGCACGTCTTCCATACACTTTGCGATTATCGTACGATTGTGGGATTTCCCGCGATTATCGTGCGATAATCGCACAGTGTATGGGCACCTTAACGGTCATCTCCCCGCACCACCTCTTAGCAAGCTGGGACATTGCCACTGTTTGCCAGGAGCTTGGTGAGACACCGCCCCCACCTTCCCTCCCATGGCTTCAGGAAGCAAAAAGGCTATCGATACACCTGTAAGCAGGCAATGGGAACAGGTGCACTAGCTCCAACGAGACTGCAACTCTGCTTCTTCCTAGCACTGCAGTGGAGTGGATGAGCAGTTAAAGGTAGTCATAAATTCCTAGTGGAGAAGATAGATGAGGTGAAACTAGATATTAACATTCTGAGGGTAGAAATTCAAAAGATCAGAGAATGCACTGCGAGTGCAGAGCCACATTGGGGATTTGGAGAACTCTGTGTCCCCACTTATGAAGGAATATGAAAAATTAGAGCAAAGACTTACATCATCTGAAGAGAAGGCAGATGACTTGGAGAATTTGCTCCAGCAAAACAATACTAGGCTTGTTGGGCTGCCAGATAAAATGAAGGGTTCATACCCAGTTAGTCCTCTGGAGCATTGGCTGCTAACTGAATTTCACTAATCTCACCTCTATTCTTGCTTTGCCATAGAGTGGGCCAACTGTGTTCCGGGCCATTAGCCCATACCATGTGCCCCCCCTTCACCTTCTTCTCTCTTAAACTACAGAGACCATGACTACATCCTTAGAAAAGCCAGAGACCAGTAGCACTTGAGTACTAACAAGGCTTATGTAGCTCTCTTTCCAGACTTCTCTGCTCTCAATAACAAGCAGTCAAGCAAACAGCCCGTATCCCTCAATATTCCATGTTGTTTGCAGCAAAACTGAGGGTACAGTGCCAAGGCAAAGCCCATTTGTTCATCTCAGCCTCGGATGCAATGATCTGAGTGGAATCTCTACCCTGTCACTGATCCTTTCCTGTGCACACAGGGAACACCTGATCACAGCTTTCTGGTAACATAATTCATCTTATTTCCCCCTTTTTTTAAAGCTAATAGCTTGTGAATAACTGTGTCTTGGAATTAGTCAGTCAGAGAGACTAAAGTTATTATCCACTTGCTGTTGTTTAAGTACGTTCCCCATATTCCTAAAGTTAAGGATCAAGGCCCACAGCGGTTGGGGTTGAGTTGGGCAGGGAGTTTCAAATACTTGGCCTACAACTATACACTTGTGCTCATAAGTTTACATACCCTGGCAGAATTTATGATTTCCTGGCAATTTTTCAGAGAATATGAATAATAACACGAAAACCTTTCTGTCACTCATGGGTAGTGTTTGGCTGAAGCCATTTACTATCAATCAACTGTGTTTACTCTTTTTCAATCATAATGACATCAGAAACTACCCAAATGACCCTGATCAAAAGTTTACATACCCCAGTTCTTAATACTGTGCGTTGCCCCCTTTAAAATCAATGACAGCTTGAAGTCTTTTGTGGTATGTGTGGATGAGGCTCTTTATCTTCTCAGATGGTAAAGCTGCCCATTCTCCCTGGCAAAAAGCCTCCAGGTCCTAAATTCATAAATTCTTGGGCTGTCTTGCATGAACTGCACGTTTGAGATCTCTCCAGAGTGGCTCAATGATATTGAGGTCAGGAGACTGAGATGGCCACTCCAGAACCTTCACTTTATTCTGCTGTAGACAATGACAAGTCGACTTTTTCCACTTTTAACTCTCTACTATGTCCCCCACCGCCGCCACCTACTAACTCGCTGACTGCCCAGGACATTGCCACTCATTTCAAAAGCAAAATAGATACAATTCGGGATCAGATCGCCACTGTGCAGTCACCTTCCCCTATTCATGTTCCAGACCCACCATCACACTTTTGACCCGGCCACCACAGAGGAGGTTACAAAGCTTCTCTCTGACACCCACCTCACCACTTGCCCCCTGGACCCTGTTCCCTCACCACTACTTCGGTCACCCTCATACTCTATCCTACACTCTCTTACTCACATTTTCAATCTCTCCCTCTCTACTGGAATCTTTCCCTCCCCTCTAAAGCATGCCCTGGTCACCCCAATACCCAAAAAACAATCAATGGACCCTACCGGCCTTAACAATCTCAGACCAATCTCCCTACTCCCATTCACCTCCAAACTCGTAGAAAGAACGCCTTATCTACAGCCGCCTGAGCCGCCACCTCGCTGATAACAACCTTCTCGATCCCTTACAGTCCGGCTTTCGCCCCTACACTCCACTGAAACCCTCCTAAAACTCACTCATGACTTAATAACAGCTAAACACAATGGCCACTATTCCCTACTGTTGCTATTACTAGGTTTTCGTGTTATCATTCATATTCTCTGAAAAATGGCCAGGAAATCAT